GTATTACTAGGAGCCACACACTGGCATGTGGGGGGGGCTGTTTCCTGCCCCCCAGCAGTGGCAGGGTGGGCTTCAAAAGCCGGAGAAGTAAAATCCCTTTTAGAAAGGTCACGTCCCTGACACAGCTTGAGTCAGCGCGTGGCCTGTGCCCTGCCCGTGGCTGACAGTGACGCAGGCACCGGGGACTCAGGGCTCAGGAATGTGAGTGGCCCCAGCCAAGGGGCAGCGGGGACATCCCTCACCTCTCATTGACCCACTGGCATCGAGGCCAACTTGTTGTCATTAATTAGGAGCCACTATTAAAGTGGGAGGGGGAGGTTTTGTGGCTGCACGGTCCCCTGTGTCCCTGCACCTGTGGTTCCACTCACCAGGAGCACATCCTGCCTGGAGAGGGGGACCTGTGCTGACACCTCCCATCTTCTCTCCCCTCCAGGTGCCTGTGGGAGACGCAGGGAGCCGGCATGTCCCAGCCCAGTGCACCCCCGCCTTACGATGACAAGAACCCCCTCTACCCCCCACCCCCAGGGGGGTACCCTCAGCCCCATCACTACCCTGGGGGCTACCCACAGCCAGGGGGATATCCCCCAGCGGCAGGGTATGGGCAGCCAGGGGGGTACCCAGCAGCAGGGGCATACTCTCATCCAGGGATGTCCATGCCCACCATGCCTATTCGCTTTGGTAAGTAGCAGCACCTTGTTTTTTTTGGGGGGGGAGGGCAATAGAAACAGGAGTGCTGTGAGGGGCTGCGCAGCTGAACCTGGTGCTGAGGAGTGTCCACCACCACAGGTGACGATGGCATCGGGGATGGCTCCCCCTTCCAATCAGTCGATTGGGACGACAGGAAAGTCCGGCACACCTTCATCCGCAAGGTGAGCCCAGAGGGGCTGGGGGCACCTGTCAGCATGGGGCAGCACCTGTCGGGGCAGGGGTCCAGATGCTGATCCCTCTGTCTCTTGCAGGTCTATGCCATCATCTCCCTGCAGCTGTTGGTGACAGTAGGGATCATCTCTGTGTTCACCTTTGTGTGAGTGGAGGGTTCCTCCTTAGCCTTGTCCTGGAAAGAGGGGAGCCCAACCCTGTGTCCCCTGGGGGTGTTCCAAGGGGACAGTAGTTGCTGTATTCCCTCCCTCATGCTTGTCCCTCCTGTCCCACAGCCACCCTGTCCGCTCCTTTGTCCAGACGAATGTTGCCATCTACTACGCCTCATAGTGAGTAAGGGGTCTTGCTGGCTTGTGCTCCCCCAGCTCGTGCCCCTCACATTTGCAGCCTCCCAGCCTGGGGGCTGATCCTGGTGGGAGATTGCAGGGTTGACACCTGCTCTCTTTCTTTGAAGTGCCGTGTTCCTGGTGACCTACCTGGTGCTGGTTTGCTGCCAGGGTCCTCGGTGAGTCTCTGGGACCCACAGGGTGCAGTGTATGGGTATGGCAGGGGTGTCTCTAGAGCATTAAGATTGGGGTTCTTGCTTGGGGCTGCCCCTTGGGGACTGGGGACCAGGGGAACATGATGTAGCCCCTATCACCAGCTCCCCTCTCTCCTCATTTTCTCCTCAGGAGACGCTTTCCATGGAATATCATCCTGCTGAGCATCTTTGTGAGTGGGCTGGGACTGGTGGAGGGTCCTGGTGGTGCCCCCATGGCACAGCAGTTCCCTGGGCAGGCTGGGAGGGATAGGTGGATGTGTGGGCATGTGAGGGCAGCCAGGAACTGCTGACCCCATGGTGCCACCCAGCCTGCTGAGCCCACCCTTCTCCTCCACAGACGCTGGCCATGGGGCTGATGACAGGGACCATTGCCAGGTATGGCCTGGGGACACTGTGGTGACAGGAGCTGGTGTCCCTCCTGTCCTTCCCAATGCAGCTGGCTCAAGTGAGAAGCTGTCAGGAGCCAAGGGACACTTCAGTCGCTTGGGCTCAGGGACAGGGGGGTTCTTGTCCAGGATCGGGGCTGTGTGGGGGGTCACCAACACCCTGCTGGGCAGGGGGATGCTGAAGCATGAGGTGACTGTGGTGTCTCCTCCATCCACAGCATGTACAAGACCAATGCTGTCCTGATTGCCATGCTCATCACTGCCATTGTGGCCATCATTGTCACCATCTTCTGCTTCCAGACCAAGGCAAGGAGAGATGCCCTGCTCTGCCCTGCCCTGGGGAGGGAGCCTGTCAGTGGGGACACTCTGGGCTCTCCTGTTACATTATGTGTGTGTGTCCCCCCATCAGGTTGATTTTACATCGTGTTCGGGGCTGTTCTGTGTGCTGGGCATCGTGGTCATGGTGACCGGGATCATCACTGCCATCGTCCTCTCCTTCAAATATGTGAGTGGAGGGGACAGAGGGGCTGTGGGGTGCCATGGGTGTTCCTGGTCAGGTGCCCCCAGGGCTGGTACAGGCATGGGGTTTGGGTGGTCCCCCTTTGCTGGGAAGCAGGGTGTGGTGCCGGCCGCAAAAGGCAGCTTGCCCGCAGGGAGAGGGTGCGTCGGCAGCAGCAGCAGCATCTTGGGAGCTGGGTGCGGGCAGGACCTGCCCTGCCTTGCCTGCTGCCTGCCAGCACCCCGGCTCACCCTGCCTTTGTCCCCTTCCTGTGCAGGTGCCCTGGCTCCACATGCTGTATGCGGCCATCGGGGCCATTGCGTTCACACTGGTGAGTTCATGGCTGGGGTGGGCAGAGGGTGTCGGGCAGGGACTGGGAGGGAGGAATCCCCCCTTTGTCCCTGCCTGACACCCTCTGCCCCCCCAGTTCCTCGCCTATGACACCCAACTCGTGCTGGGGAACAGGAAGAACACACTGAGCCCTGAGGAGTACATCTATGGTGCCCTCACCATCTACACCGACATCATCTACATCTTCACCTTCCTCCTGCAGATAGTGGGCCGGGATTAGCCCTGGCACCCATCCTGTCCTCCCCGGTTACCCCTCACCCCCTCCTGTGGTCTCTGTACAGGATAGTCCACTTACCGTGACTCCTAACGCTTTGGCATTCCTACCTGTAGGCTGCTAAGGAAAGGGCTTCCCTTGATCATCCCCCAACAAGCCTCCAAGGGCAGTGCGGGGGACTGGCTGCCAGTGTTTAGGCAGTGCCCGGCCTTGGCACCGCTTACCAAGGCTGTGCTGATGGCGTTGGGTTGGCAGTGGGATGCCAGAGCCCTGCCTGGGCACTGGGAGCTGGCAGCGGCTGCTGGGATCGTGTTGGGATTTTTTGGCAGAGTCTGGTTGGCGTCATTCACTCAGTGCCTTAAATGCGGCTCTGGCCGTGCCCCCCTCTCCCTGAGCTGCGGCTGTGCCCGGCGCGGGCGGGGGGCAGCTGGGACCCCCGTGGCAGAACTCATATTGCAGAGGCCCTGCAGCCACGGATGTGAGCAAAGTTGCACTTGCTAAATAAAAACACTTCAGTTTTCCAGATGGTGCCGATGTTGTTGGTGCGGCAACTCCCCCCAAGAAAGCCTGTGGGCAGCCTCTGCGGGGGCTGCGGCCTGGTGCAGCACAAACACTGCTTTGGAATGGGAAAAACAAAGGGGTGGAAAAACCAAGGTCAAACTGCTCCAGTCCTGGCCTGCCTTGCCTGCCTGTAGGGGGTACTGCCTTGTGGGCAGAACCCTGGGGCTGAACGGTGAGGGAGCAACCACAGATGCACTGAGCTCTTCCACTTTATTTGTCCCAATCCAGCTCCACGACCACGCTGTGGACTGGACAGGAAGCACAGGTGCCAGTGTCAAGTGTCCCATGGGGCTGGTGTCCCTTGGCCAGTCCCTTCAAGGTGCCACAGTGCCAGCCTGGGGATGTGGGGAAGCCAGGCTATGCCCCCCTGGCCACCCTCTTGTATCGCTCTGTCTCATACTCGCCCTGGTTGGCTTGCATCATTTTTTGGCGGATTTTGAGCTGCTCCAGACGGTTTTTGTCCACCTGCCGTTTGGCCAGGAGGAAGAGGATTATTCCAGAAGGCAATCCGATGGCCCTGCAGGACAGCCAGTGGTCAGGAGATGGAGAGAGCTGGCAGGGAAACAAGGGTGCTGTGCCACTCAGGAGCTGCACCGACTGTCCCTGCTCAGCACTACAACGCCGCAAGGCCCCCATTCCACTCCAGCCCTGTAGGTCAGTGCAGCCTCCCGGGCCAGCACTCTCCCACTGCCCGAGCCACTCACCAGGCCACTCCCACCGGTTTCATCGGATTCTTGCCCCTCTTGCGGGTGGGGATGTACTCCACCCCTTCAGGGAGCCCTCCGCTGCCCGGCTGTGGCCCGGCCCGTTGTCCCGCGGGCCGGTGGCAGCTCTGCCCGAGAAGCCAAGTGCCCGGGGGCCCGGCCGCCCCCAGGGCCTGGCGGAACCCAGGGGAGGTCCTGCTGCCACCAGCAGCCCTGCGGAAAGAGGCATTAGGGAGGGACAGCGTGTGGGAGGCCCAGCCTGGGCTGCCTGAGGCTCCTGCTCTTGCTCTTATCCCCACCCATCCCCGTCCCTGCTCCCCTGCCCCTGCCCTTATCCTTATCCTTGCCCATCCCCATCGCCATCCCTACCCTCATCCCCCTGCCCTGCCCCTGCCCCGCCGCCAGGGGACGCTCGAAGGCGGTGCCTGAGCGGTGGGGGTGTGGCCAAACGTAGGGGGCGTGACTAATCACACCGGGGGCGTGGTTCTAAGCTCCGTCCTCAGCCGGGCGGGGCCGGGGGCCGTCTCGGGGAGCCGTGCGGCGGAGCCTGCGGGCTGTGCGGTGGGGGATGTGGCGGGACAGTCCCGACCTCCTCGCCCTGGCCGCCCCCTCTGCCCGCCCTCCCTCCCGCCAGCCGTTACCGCGCACTCCGCCTCGCGCCGCCGCCATGTTGTGGGTGTGCGGCGGCCGCGCTGCATGCCGGGAGGTGCAGTCCCACCGCGCGGGCGTCGCTGCACGGTTCGGGCGCAGAAAACTACTTCTCCCAGAGCGCAACGCGCGGGGCGGGGCCGCCCCGCCCCGCTGGCGGAAAGGGCGGGGACCGCGTGCGGGAGCGGGCCGTGGTTGGCCGGGGCGGGGGCGGCGGGCGGGGATTGGCCGGGGCGGGGCGCGCGGCGGAAGCGGCGGCGGCGGCGGGCGGGTCGGCATGGAGCCCGCGGAGGGCCCAGGCGCGCTGGGCCTGCACGGCGACGAGGAGATCATCGAGGTGGTGGAGCTGGGCCCGCCCGGGCCGGGTGAGACGGGGCGCCCCGCGCCGCGCATCGGGCAGGGCCTGCGGGGGCTCCGGCCTCTCCCACCGGAGCACCGGGCGCGCTGCGGCCCCGCCCCAGTGCCAGACCCGGCCGGTGCACCCCCCCCGGCCCGCGGCCTCTCCCCTTGTCGCGCCCCGTTCCCCGCCGCTCCCCTGCGCCGGGTCTCCTGGCCGCGGCGGCGTCGCGCATCCCCCGCTGCCCTGTCCCCCGGGGTTCCCCCCGCTCCCGCCGTGCCCGCAGCCGCCCCGGGGGGGCCGAGCCCGGCGGGCCGAGAGCCGCGCCCTGACCTTCGCCCTCCGCAGATGACCTGGCCGAGGAGATGGAGGACGTGGACTTTGAGGACGAGGGGGCAGACGAGCCCGATGCCGAGACTTGGGATTCGGAGGATGACGAGGGGGTGGAGGATGGCATGGAGGCGCAGGATGACAGCGAGGTCACGTTCTCCCTCCACTCGGGTGAGTGCTGTGGGCCCCTCGGGACCTGCTCCCACCTTGGCTTTCCCCAGAGCCCTGGGGTGCAGAGGGCCTTGCCAGGCTACAGTCTCCCAGACTTCCTGGGACAGCCATCAGGACTCGGAGCTGCCTTGGGCTTGTTCTCTGGCAGAGCAGCTCTTCAGGCCTCCCACCATGGCAGCTGGCCCTGAGCTCAGCAGACAGCTCGTGCCGCTCCTCCCCTGTGTAAAGAATCGATTCCCACTGGGCTGGGCTGGGAGTTCAGCTCGCTGACAGGGGGTTTGAATCCCCTGGGAGCGTCAGGTGAGGTGGGATTGGCCCTTGAGCAATGTTGCCTGTCTTTACTCTCCTGTGAAGCTTCTGTTTTCTGCGTGAGCCTTGACCCCAAGACCAACACGCTGGCAGTGACCGGTGGGGAGGACGACAAGGCCTTCGTGTGGCGCGTGAGCGATGGGGAGCTGCTGTTCGAGTGCTCAGGTGAGCCCGAGGCTGTGCCAGTGAGAGCTGTGTCCTCTCCCGGCCTGTCTGGGAGCTGTGTTGGGGATGTGGTCCTGACCCCCTTTCATGGCTTGCCCTGAGCAGTCTCTGTCCCCTGACGTTCCTAGGACACAAGGATTCGGTCACCTGTGCTGGCTTCAGTCACGACTCTGTGTTTGTGGCCACGGGTGACATGTCTGGGCTTATCAAAGTGTGGCGGGTGGATGCCAAGGAGGAAGTGTGGTCCTTCGAGGTGGGGGACCTGGAGGTGAGTGGTGGAAGCCCTGGTGCCATGGGGAGCTCCCGGGCCAGCGAGGGGGGGACACCACCTGTGACGCTGCCTGTCCCTCTCTCTGCCCAGTGGATGGAGTGGCACCCTCAAGCCCATGTCCTTCTGGCGGGCACGGCTGATGGCAACACCTGGATGTGGAAGATTCCCAGTGGGGACTGCAAAACCTTCCAGGGCCCTGCGTGCCCAGCCACATGTGGCAGGATCCTGCCTGATGGTGAGGCATGAGGGCTCTCTGGAGTGGGGAATGTCACCAGCTCTGTAACAGATCCCACTATCACCATCTACTCTCCTGCTTCTGCCAGTCTGTGCTGAGTGGGAAGTGGGGGGACTAGGAGGGCTGTGTCCCCATGTGCTGTCTCTGTCTCACCCAGGGAAGCGGGCGGTGGTGGGGTATGAGGACGGGACCATGCGCATCTGGGACCTGAAGCAGGGAACCTCGCTGCATGTCCTTAAAGGTAGGGAAAGGAATATCACCTGGGGTGCTTCCTGCCTGGGGAGTGGCCCCTTCCAGCGGGCTCTGACCTCTGCATGGGTGGAGAGGTGGTGTCCTTCAAAGCCACCGGTGGCTGCTCCTTGCTGCTGGCAGGGGCTGCAGGAGGGTGGGTTTGGAGGCCCGCTGGGTCTCTGTGGGGATGACAAACAGAGCTCATGCCTGCTGCTCACCCGCCAGGCCAGGATGGCCACCAGGACCCCTTGACGTGTGTGGCCAGCAACCAGGATGGCAGTTTGATCATGACGGGCTCTGTGGACTGTCACGCCAAGCTGATCAACTCTGCCACAGGCAAGGTGGGTCCGTGTGGGCAGGGCAGAGCCAGGAGCGCTGGGCACCCCCCGAGCCCCCTGGGCTGGGCCGGGCTGGTGCACAGCCATCGGCAGCCGGCAGGAGGCGTCCTGGCGCTGTGGGTGGAGCCGCGGCTGGGTGGTCCCTCCGGGCTCCTGGAAGGAAGGAGCTGAGGATTTGGGGCTGGGCGTTGGTCTGCTGGGGATGCAGGCTTGGTCCCGAGTAAGGAGCGGGAACTCTGTGCATCTGTGTCTTCTTCCCTTCCCCTTGGGGACTAGTCAGCTTCCCTCCACACAGGTGGTGTGCGTGTTCAAGGTGGAGACTGTGGCCCCCAAGGCACCCATCGGTGAGGGCGAGGAGGCAGAGTCCAACTCGGTGGAGTCGCTGGGCTTCTGTAATGTGTGAGTGTGGGGACAGCCCCTCTTCAGTGCTAGATCTTACAGGGGTTGTTACAGACAGATCCGTTTGCATCCATTGTGCTTGTTCTGCTGCATTTCTCTTGCCTCTGTCCTCCCTGGCTGAATGTGGAGATCCTGGATCACTTAGGTGTGAGGACAAGGGACAGCAGCTGCTCAGTCCTCCTGGCAACCGTTGGGTTTCTGGGCTAGCCTGATGGACCACTGTGGGGCTGGGATACCCTCCAGACATGAATGTTTTCATGCCTGGACATTTTCTTCCTCATTAACCTCAGGCTGGTTGCTGACTCTTGCTGTCCCTTTGGGTTTCCTGATTGGGGTGTTTCAAGGCCATTGGGTTGGCCCTCATATTCTCAACACACTGCAGCCCTCAGCCCAGGGTTTGCCTTACCTGGATCCTTCACACACTTCCATCCCTGCTTCCCCTACTCCCATGTAATGCCTGTTCCCCTCTCCACAGGATGCCACTGGCTGCTGTGGGCTACCTGGATGGCACACTGGCTATTTATGACCTCTCCACACAGAGCCTGAGGCATAAGTGCCAACATGAGGTAAGGCCCTACCCCCTCTCCCTAGACCTAGGAGGTGGGCTTTGGGCCTGTTGGAGATCTTTTTCAGAGCCCAGGGGCCAGTTCCTGATTTGTGCTTCTCCCTCAGCCCTGGGCTTCCCCAAAGGCAGCCACAGTCCCTGCACAGAGAATGTGGTTGGCCCTGGGGGCTGGCTCTCCTGTCTGTGTGGGTAGCAGACAACAGGGGAGGGGGGAGGGGATACAGGGGGGGAGACTTGGTGGAGGTCCCCACTGTGTCCCCCCTGCCCCAGTCCGGGATCGTGCAGCTGCTGTGGGAGGAGAGCTCGGCCGTGGTTTACACCTGCAGCCTGGACGGGGCCGTGCGGCTCTGGGACGCCCGCTCGGGGAAGATGATCAGCGAGTACCGAGGGCACTCCGCCGAAATCCTCGACTTTGCTGTCAACAAGTGAGCAGGGAATCCCTAGACCCCTTCTCTTGCAGGGTGGAGGGACCAGGGGTGGCAGGGGCCTCCAGCCTCAGGAGCTCACTTCACAAACTCTCTCTCCTTTGGTTGCCCTTGGGGTCTGGTCCCAAGGTGCAGACAGACACAGGTCCATGCTGAGCCTTGAGGGTCTCAAGAGGAAGTGTGGCAGTTTAGAGCTGGGCCAGGGGTGTTGGTTAGGGATACCAGAGGCCCCCAGGCCCGTATCTGAGCCCTGTCTCCCCGCAGGGATGCCTCCATTGTGGTGACCACCTCTGGCGACCACCAAGCCAAAGTGTTCTGCGTCCAGCGCCCTGATCGCTAGAACTGTGCCAAGGGATGGAGTCCCGGCACTGCACGGCGGCTCGTGTACAGAGGGATGAGGGGAGATGGTGTCACCCCCCTTCTCCAGTGTGTGCTTTGTAATTTTCCAGCCTGCCCTGCTTTGCCCTCCCTATCTAGGGGCCAAGCCTGGGGTTTTGTATGAAGATGACTTTAATAATATAAATTATTTCACTTAACTGGATGCCATCTACTCTGCTTGTTGGGGGGAAGAGGACCTGGGGAGCTGTGCTCCCTCCTCAGGGATCTCCGTGGCATCCAATCATGGCCTGAGGATCAAAGGCAGAGACCCCCATCCTAGCTCTCGCTGATAGGGGGAAGGAGGGGGCCACGGTAGGAGGGAAGGGTGCAGATTGCTATTTGAGAGTAGGAGAATCATGCACTCTGCAGTTCAGGAGTTCCCTAACAGAACAGGCTATTCCCAGACCTGGGCACAGCACCCCCAAGTTCACCAGAAATCATTTGTTCCACAATACAGGAGTTATCTCCCTTGGGGCTGTGACTCCAAACACCCCTTCCAGGGCAAGGCCACATGCATTCACAAGCCAAAGCCCCACAGCCCTTTAAGATAGAAAGATCTCCTTTATTAATGAACCCCAACAGTATTTCTTCAGATACAGGAGTTTTGAACTCAAATACTCAGAAGAAAACAAGTTAATATTGCATTATTCTCATAAGAAATACTGCAACTTATTTCTGGTAACATATTGCAAAGCGAAACAGCTTGAAAAGAAAAAAAATTAAAAAAGAAAAGAAATTAAGTCAATCAAACTGGAATTAAAGTTTTGTTTCTTGGAACGATCAAGTCCTCGCAAGCACAGCTCGTTTCTGCAGATTACTCCCCAAACTGTCGTACAGACCCCGATTGCTTGAATTCCTTATGAGCCCACAGAGGTGCAACATTAAAAGCTACGATTATCGGGTAGCAAGTGCCCCAACCGTCGTCCTCCACGGCAGCCTCAGTGACCCCAGCGTTAACGGGTTGTGAACGTCTTCCCCCTGGAAGGATGCAGAGAGAGGTCAGCACAGGCCCCAGGGTGGCTGTGGGGCTTGTGGTGGGGCACACGCTGCAGCTGAGCTTTCACAGCCAGGCAGGCACTGCTGGTTTGGAGCTCACAGGTGTTTGTGGCTGCAGAACCAGTGAGGGGCTATGGGGAGGGGCTGGCCTTTGCAGAGGGGACAACCCTCCTGCCTCAAAGCAGAATGCAAAGGGACATGCCAGGACACACATTAAAAAAGGACACCAATGGGCTCTGGGATGAGCAGAGGGTAAGGGATGTGAAGGAAGCATGTTCACACAACTGCTCTCCTCCCTCCACCCTGTGCTGCTTATTCACAAGAGGGAGCCAGCCAGCCTGGTGGCCTGGGAGTGCTCCTGGCCCCAACCATCAGCTGGCCAAGGGCAGCCTCAGGCTCCGAGCAGCTGCAGACACACCGGGCACAAGGATCTGATCCCATACCCACAAACCCCTAGGGAGAACCTGGCTCCTCTCCCCTCATGAGCTGGAGCTGCCCCCAGAGCTAGCCAGCCAGCTCTAATATAACAGGGGAAAAGCCCCACAAATGCCACCATGGGCTCAGAGGGGGGAACATGACATAATGGAGACACCTGGGCTCACAGGACCTGCTGGCACAGGGTTTTGCCACAGACCCAGCTCCTCAAGGGACATGCAAGGCAGTAAGCTGTGGGTCACCACCACAGCACCCCAGCCTGCCCTGGACTGTAGAATGCCAAGCCGAGAAGGGGCGAGCTTGTGGCTGGCAGAGAAGCCCGGAGCAGATTGCCACTCACGTGATTGTTTTCATTTCTTTCTTCTCTGCGTCTGGACGGGCACGGTTCAGCACCTTGAGGAAATCTGACGTTTTCGCCCTCATACGCGTGTGAATATAGGCCTGCGTTTCATTAGGGCAAAACAGGGACACGTCAGGATCCTGTCTTCATAGCTGAGATTTCAGGACATGTCAAAGCCAGGTCACTCTGAACAATTACCCTAATTTCTGTTCCCAGAGAGGAAATAAACCCGATCCAAAAGGAAAAAATCCTATTTTGCTGCTAGAATGGGAAGCAAATATGCACTGCCTGTGCCTAAGAGCAGGGAGAAGGTGACAGTGCATCACTTGCTACCCCTGCATGACTGGGGAGGGCAATGCCAGACCTGAGTGAGTTCTCAGGAGGCACCCCTGCCCCATGCTCCTCCCCTGCAGCACCCAGTCAGATGGGCTGAAGCCACCCCATGTCCCCCAGCCCTGGCCCTCATACCTTCGAGCACTTGATGTGATAGTGCAGATAGTCCCGGAATGTGTGGATCAGGTTTATGGTGTTGTCTCTGGCTGCAGCATTGGTGTGACGGGGGAACAGCACTGAAAGAAGAGGCCAACACAGACCATTAGTGCCTCCTGAGGCTACCCCAGGGCTTCAGGATCCTCCAGTGCTGGAAGCTTCAGGGAGTGCTGCTCTGAATGCCTGCCTTGCTCTCTACAAAGAGCCCTTTACTGTGACACATATCAAGATTAAGCAGCACTTGTGATTTTATATATAAGGCTTAGGAGCACTTTTCCACATCTCCTACAGCAGCCTGGACACAGCTGTGCAGCCTGTGGGATGCAGGCAAGGCCAAGTGCCCAGAGATGATGGCACTGTAGGAAACTGCATAACGCAGCATCGGTGCCTGGGAGACACAGTCGGAGGAGTGAACTGGGAGGCAGACCAGAGCAGCCAGGCTGCTCCAACAGTTTCAAGATCCAGTCTGCCATGGGGTCTTGAAATTGGTTGTGGATCTCTGCCTGGCAGCTTGTAATAGAGAGAGACTTGGATAAGTTGGTGGCTCCCTCTTTCCATAAGCTGGTGCTCTGCTAAGTGTCCCAAATCCAAGGGCTGAAAGAACTTTTTGTTTGGGTGATGATCTCACCTGAGACTGTCAGATCAGATAACTGGGAAATTGTGTCTCAACAAGCATGAAGTATGTGCCATTCCAGCCCTGCCATAGCTGACAGCTGCTCGGACCTCAGGGCATCACTCAAGGAGCACCCTCAAAGGGGGCAGTGCTAACTTCACCTTCTCCTGCAGTGTCTGTGCTCCATCTCTGAGCTGCAAACTACAGGAATGCTGGCCTGAGAGATCCTAAAGACACACCCAACCATTGTCCCCGACTTCCCTGGAAGAGACCTATCCCTTTGCACAGGGCAGGGTTTGGACTCCTCAGCACTGCTGCCCAGGGGGAAGTGATGGCTCTGCTGGTCACCACCTCTGCAGGCAGGAGAAAGTGGCTCATCAGTGTTTGGCCCATAGCAAAGAGGCAGAGCTGGAGAAGCAGAACTCACTCACTGCCCCACTACTGCTCTCCAATTACCCCTGCTGATCAAGTACTGCACTGGTGCCTGCAGCTGGACAACCTACAAATACACTTGCATAAAACCTTTCACATGAAACCTCCAGTTTCTACAATATCACAGCAAAGCAACCCTTCCCTTTGCTCCCAAGTACTGAACTTATTTTGTAGGCAGACACTGAACAGCTCACTGTCCACTTCTGTATCTTCTTGCCCACAGCAGAGCTGAAGTGACCTGATATAGAAAAGGGATGGTCCAAAGGGGGTGGACAATATAGAGTGCAACTCCAGAGTCCCTGCAGCCCCCAATGACCCACTTCAACACTCAGGGAAAGTGAATTCTTTTTTGTTTTTCATGCAGCAGCAGGAACCTCTCTCCTCCCGAGCACGCCCAGGCCTCAGAGCTGCCTGCTTACCAAAGGTGATGTAGCCAATATTGTCGCCCACGGCCGCGTCCGTGTCTTTCAGCTCCAAGGGCGGCTCCCTGTGGCTGAAGAGCACCTGTGGGGCTGTGTGACTGGCCCGGCGACCCTCCTTGAACTCCTGAGCAAGACAAAGTGAAGGTGAGTGCCACTGCAACCCTTCAGGAACGTGCTGGGAGAACAAATGGGGTTTCCTCACTCCTACAGGGCAGGGAGCAGAAGGTTGCCCAGCTTTCCATGAATGGACAGAGTTCATCAGGCCAAACACCTGGAAAACAACCTTTTTTCCCAGCAAAACCAGCCCCAAATGGATGGCTATCCTTGGTTTATACACAGGTCTAGTGCAGCCCCTCGGCTGGGTTGGCTTTCAGTGTCACACCCTTGCCATGGGTGTTTTGTGCAAGGAACACCTCAGTCTGAGCAAGCACATGAGACAGCACAGCTCCTGCTGGAAAATCAACACCATCAATGCTTCCAGTGAAAGCGGGCAGTGCCCATCACCCCAGAGGAACAGAAATTCTCAGGGAGGCTTGCAAGGTCTCCATCACACCAGCATAAAGGCTCTGCCATTTGAGAAACCATCTCACACCAGGAGCCTGCCCAAGTATCAAGAAGCACCTGCAGGGTTTGAAGCTTGTATGTGAAGCTTGCTCTTCTTAATACTTCTCTACACCTTGAAACAATACCTTCAGACAGGGAGATCCCTTCCCCCATAGAACCTCTGACAGCAGCACAACCCCCACTTCGCATGAAATGAACTGTCTGCATTTCAGGAATTGTAAGGACCACCCTTACGTGGGGCTGGGAATGTCCAGAAACCATTCTCCAGCCCCAAGGCAGGGCAGCCTTCCCTCTGAATCACTGACCTCCAGCCCAGCCTACACATTATCAGCCACCCTTGGCCTCTCCTCTGAGCACAGCTCCCCCTGGGAAGGGCAGGAGCATCCATGCCCCTTTTAGAGAACCGAGTACATCACTGGGGTTTCCCTAATGAAATGCTTAGCTTGCACTTCTGCCTGCTTGTGCCAGAGGGTGAAATGGTTCAAATGGCTTCACTGGATAGTTAATAGTCACATTTTCTCCATGAGAGCCCAGATGAGCAGCCACCATGCCTGGCTGCCTTATGCAAGAGCAATAGCTGGAGGGAAGGAGCCAGAGTGACTCAGAGTGGAAATTCTTGTGGCTGGGCAGAGGCAGGGTTTGCTGTTGTAAAAACCAAGAACTCGGGACATGGAGACTCCGCGACAGCCGCTGCCTTGAAGCCCTGCCATCTCCCCAGGAGCCTCACTAACCCCATTTTGTCCACATCATGCCTCCTTTACTGTTTTAAAAGCTGAATTCCAGGCTGAGGGATATGCTGGTGGGGAAAAACTCAAAGCCAGAGCAGATGCCCTGCCTGTAGCAAACGAACACAGTGAACAGAGCTGC